ATCGTTGTTGCGTTGGCACCATGCTTGTTTTCAAGCCGGTGGTAAATAATAATAATCGAAGCAAGCCGATGACAGTGACCAAACTATTACTCCATTACCACTCCATCGCAAGACGCAGCCCATCATCTAATTCATCGTACGAGATACAGCGAAACGAACTCCACCGATTTTTGTCAACTTATCAATGCTAGCATTGGTAGGGTGGAAAGGGTGCAAACCTACCGTGGGAGGAAAGCGAACCTATAAAGCCAAAGGCTCCGGCGGTAAATGCCCTGACAAAAGTTATTTGATCCATGTAAACACAGGGTGATCGGAACTCGGCCTTCCTTTCGCGAATATCTCTTGCGAATACATATATAAAACATCGAACTTTCTTTATTATAAACATTGTTTTGTCGTGATTTGCTACCGTTTTGGACTGACGAGTGTGAAATAAGGATGACGATAACAAGGATGTAGGTAACATGCTTTTAGTAGGGGTTCAGTTGAGCGTAGATAAACTAACCCCATGTTTACAATTGAGTTACACGGCCGGGCAGCAGTGGCAACATTATCAGAAGCAAATTGGGGGGAGTTACGTTGCACGTTGCAAGACGGACAGATCATTGGTGCCCTCGGACAGCAGCTGAGCTCTCCTGGTCAAGGACAGAAATTCGATCCAAGTCAACAGACACTCCTTCCTAATTTCACTGCGGGTATACGATGACTGAGTTAAGCCGCTGAAGCTTGGTCATGCAACAAAGACGAAATGAAAACGGAGGTTTTTTATGTTCTTCAACGAAACCATCTTATGCCCCGAAATGAATTCCAATCAGCGCTCATATAAGCACTCAACGATAAAATGTTATCGAATAGCTTTCATGTTCATTCAAACCTCACTCGAACCTTTCCGCGATTACACGATTACGAACGGAATCCGTTCGTGTGCTCTCATTGATTTTTATTACACCGAAGTGATGGGCAACAGACGGAGTCGAACCCCATAGTCAAAGATCTACTGTTTAGTGATGGTAACCGGCAGTGATGAACCACATAAGGCCCCGATGGGTCAGGCATGGTACTGAACTGGGCGACAGCAAGGCTGCCTACCACCAGAATTTTGCGAGAACATCGGAGAAACTTCAAGGTAAACTTAATCTCTAATGTTAATCAGAAGTGAAATATCAAGGGACTGAGTGAACCACAGAACTTACGGAACGCGAGCCCAAGGTTGATTGTGGTGATGGTATTGTATTCCTTGTCCTAGCTCCACGTTGTTTTTTCTCCACTTTACGCCAAGCTGCGTCGTTAGACTTCCTCGTTTTCGTCGCACTGCTTGACACAACAGTACTGGTCACCAAACCGCCCAAAACACTGTCTACACAGGACACTGAGTGATTAGCATCGGATGATACGCTGACCGACAATGGTGCGGAGGTACGTGACGATGAACAAACGGGGACAGCTTGACAATACGGGGGATGCACTGGGACGTTGGACACGCACATGGGTGTGGGACTGGACACGGAAACTGCTAAATTAATAGAGTACAATGAAGCTTTGCACTTACTTTCTCCGAAGACTGAATTACGCAGTAAGAAGGGATTGCGACGTCTAATCAAACCTCCGGTAACATCTAGCTCCACGACGGAGCTGTTGCAGCACGCCTGAAGGATAGCAAAGACGAATGAGCTAATTACCTGAACAACCAGATCAGCTGAGGCACAAAGCTGTTTCATCCGAGGAAATTCTAATATGACGCTTATAGGAACATAGCGATCGACGGTCATCTGTTCTTGCAAGTAGCGATCGCGGATAATGTTTTTATCACCAAAATAATATTCCACTTGATAACGGATCCGCGCTAACCTCTCCGACAAGCACGCCCCACAATCACTGGAATTGCAATCGCATGCTTGTACCTGCAGTCCATAGTGTCTGTAATGGGAGAGAACACCGGGATCTGCCGGAGATAGTGAAATTCGAGCAACTCACTGAAGCCGGGTCGTGGGATAATAAGAGGAATCTCAAACCCAGCGAATCCCGGTTTCACAAAAATACATGGCCTCGAAAAAGCTTGAGGGAAATAACTTTCCCGTTCGTCGCTGGAATGCGATTCTGGAAATTTCTGTGATATCTGAGGCTCAGAGGATCCATTAACGTCAGCATTAACAACTTCGGATGGAGCTGTATTCTCATTGACTGTTACGTCTTCTTGTGTCAGGTTGCTTTGATTTTGCTTCCTAGAGAACGATAATTCCACTGGTAAATCCTCCCATTTATGCCTTAATTTATGTCGTCCGACGACCTATTGAGGCATAAAGTTGTGAAAACCAAACATACTTTTCGTCTAGATTTAGTTCCCGGAATACCAGCTTTTTTCAGTTCTGGCCACTCTTCATCCATGGTTAATAAACAAGACTACAGCAAACTCATTGCGACGACTTGAAAGGAAAAGACGGCGTGCACGAGGAAAATCAAGATTAGCGCCCCGAATTTAACCTTGAGGTTAGTCAGTCAGTTCAGTTCAGTTCTCCCAGGACGAAATGTGGCTCTTGCCAATCGCGCGTCCAGTTC